TCATGCCAGTTAGATAAAAGGTTAAATACCTTTGAGTAAAAGATTAATGGCCTAACTTTGTATTTGACAGAAAGGTGTCAATCATTCCAGTTAGATGAAAGGTTAAATACCTTTCAGTAAAAGACTAATAGCCTAGCTGTGCATTTGACAGAAAGATCCCAATCATGCCAGTTAGGTGAAAGGTTAAATACCTTTGAGTAAATTAAAAGCCTAGTTGTGCATTTGATAGAAATGTGTCAATTATGCCAGTTAGATGAAAGGTTAAATACCTTTAAGTAAAAGATTAATAGCCTCTGTGCATTTGACAGAAAGGTACCAATTATGCCAGTTAGATAAAAGGTTAAATACCTTTGAGTAAAAGATTAATAGCCTAGCTGTGCTTTTGATAGAAAGGTGTCAATTATGCCAGTTAGATGAAAGGTTAAATACCTTTGAGTAAAAGATTAATGGCCTAGCTGTGTATTGGACAAGAAGGTGTCAATCATGCAAGTTAGATGAAAGGCTATATACCTTTGACATAAATGAAATGTATAATGGTACATTAAAGACATGAAAGGATTCCATATATGAGATTATTGAATAATTACTAAAGAATAACGGGAAACATGTACTGAAAGAAAGGTATGTTGGACATACTAAGAATGTTTACGATGATAGTATGAAAGAAATTTGGTTTAAATAATAGGGACTTATATAATCCTTATAGATGATACGAAGTAGTTCGAAACCAAATAAACATGATATACTTATGTATATAGAAATGTTTCTTTACAATACTATGTCTCACTAAATGATTATTTAATGTGTGTTGATTCCACGCGTAGGTAAAGGCAGAGATTAGTCGAGTAAGGAGTGCAGGCAACTATCATTAATTAAGGTTGACTCATCAGTAACTATATGATAATTTGGTTTGTTTTGGAAAATTTAGCTGGCATGTAATTAAAGTACGAAAAATGCTCTGAATTATACATATTTCAAATAATGTTTTGCTTTACATTAAAAATGTTATGTTTTAAGAAAATTTAGAAATAAAATTTTACGGGTTTTTAAAAGATGAGATATTTTAAAAGTGATGTGACATTTGTATCTCGTGTACAGAAGGGTATACGGGAGATGGGTGTTTCATTGAGGAACATCTGGTATAGTCGAACTCACACAAGCACTCATAAATCTCATTTTTATACCGATATTTCTGCACTACCTCTGCTAGAGGAGTTTACGAAGCTTGAACAAATGGAAGATTTCAGAGAACTGAAAAATAAGTGTTCTAAAAAGTCTAGCAACTGACTATGCTAGTTTCATCATTTTGTTCGTCTCTGATCAAAATGCCAAACCAGAAAGAGGGGTATGCCTTGAATTTCATGATGACCAATCGATGAAACAAACCTTAGAATTTAGGTAGCCAACCTCAAAACCAATCTTTCGATCTTGATATTTGTCAAAAATTTGTAGCTATCAGAGATTAAAAGAGTAGTTGATTTTTTATATTCAATTAAATCATATTTTTTGTGATTTGCTCTAATTGTGAGGCCGAAAAATGGGCATTATTTTAGTTCATTTGGCAATGAAAATTCACATATTCTTTATTCGTCAAGTTTTTTTCAAAAGAAGAAAAATATTTTCAAACAAGATAATCTCTCTGGAGGCATATCTTGGAATTCAACGAATATCACTCTGAAGCTCAAGATCGAAGCTAGGGTAAGAGAAGACAATTTTTTGGGGCAAGCAAATACAATTTTTTGGGAAAACTTTGATATGGCAAGGAAAACAAATTGTCTCAGGTCGAGGTTTGTACACTCTGGTGGAAAGGAAGACGAACTAAATAAAAACAAATAATGAAGAATGCTTAGGCAACCGTTCCCCTCACAGATCAACATACATACATCAACACATACATACATGACACATGAAATTTGCATCTTTGCATTCATCATCATGTGCATTAGAGACATTTTATCCTCTCTTGAGGACAAATTCAATAAAACATCAAATAAATTTCATCTTGGCATCCATCGTAAACATACAAGATAGGCATTCATAAATACATCATTTTGATCTTTTAGGAAATCAATGATCGAAATGACCAGATGTCTCTAACCTAAAGAAACAATGATTTGACTTCCTGAAGTCAACAATCAGATATTTTGAAAACTTTTCCTACACATGCAGGAACAAGCAGACTGGTTGTCACCTTTGAGACAATTTCTTTTAAAAAATCAAATTTTGTCTTGCTTGAGACAGTTTTCTTAAAAACGAATTGTGTCTCGCTTGAGACAATTTCTCTCAAAACAAATTTTGTCTTACTTGAGATATTTTCTCTCGGAATAAAAATTTCAAAGTTGTTTTACTTGAAACAAAGTTAATCTCACTTGAGATTTTCAAAGCCGATTCGTCTCGCTTGAGACAATTTCCCTTTAAAGAAAACAAATTCTAAAATTGTTTCACTGGAAACAAAATTTATAATCTTTGAATCTATTTCTCTTGAAACAAATCTTATTTTCCTTGAGATCGTTTCTCATGAAACAACAATCATCTTTGAGTCTGTTTCTCTTGAAACGAATTTTGTCTCTCTTGAGACAACTTCTCTTGAAGCATCATCTTTAAGTATGTCTCCCTTGAGACATTATCCCTAAAGATGGTATATCATCCTCATCACGTAGAAACTGTGTCATCCCCCCGACCAAACCTCCTCATCACGTAGGAGCCATGTCACCCCTAGACAACCAGTCATCCTCATCGCGTAGGAACCATGTTATCACTCTTCCTAAAGACGACCATACCTCCTAATCACGTAGGAGCAATGTCACCCCTAGATAACCAATCGTCCTCATCGTGTAGGAACCGTGTTATCACCTTTCCTAAAGATGGCATGCCGTCCTCATCATGTAAGAACCGTGTTATCCACTGACCATACCTCCTCATCACGTAGGAGCCCTATCATCCCTAAATAACCAGCCGTCCACATCATCTAGGAACCGTGTTATCTCCCTTCCTAAAGATGTCCAGAACTCTTCATCACGTATGAGTCGTGTCATCCACCGACCAGATCTCCTCATCACGTAGGAGCCGTGTCACCCTTAGACGACCAGACCTCTTCATCACGTATGAGACGTGTCGTCCCCCACCAACAAACACATCAAATATCAAAACAAAAAAAAACCGAACAAAAAATGGTTGTCTTTTTCGTCTTTTCCCTATTCTTGTTAACGCAAGAATGTGCAAAGAGGTGCAGTTATAGACACCCGTTTTTGTCTGGGTCAACAAATATATTATCTTATTATTATTATATTATATAATATTATTATTATTATTATTATTATTATTAAATTACATTTTACATATTTTTTGTCCATGCCCTCATTAAAGCCCAATACAATCAAATGAAGCCCAACTACAGCTCAAGCCCAACAACCCAGCAGCCCCAAAGCATTACAAGACCCGATTCTGGCCCAGGATCCGACTCGGATCATCTAACCAGAATCAGGATCCGAATCGGCCCCCTAGGGTTCCTAAAACCCTAACCCTATGGTATGAGGCTGTAACTGTCACTGTCTCCCCTGACGATGACGTCGCCGACTATTCCCCTATACAAACATTGATCGAACATCATCAATCCATCAACATTGATAAAAATCACTAATCAAATCTATCAACAGCCATATATCACCAAAGGCACAAGTAACATAAAAACAGAGAAGAGAAAAATCACTGGGGGATTCGGGGGTTAAAAGAGAAAAGATAGAGAGAAAGAAATAAACAGAGAGAGGGAGCCTGGAGAAAAAACGAAAGAAATAAATGGAAAAAAAGAAAAAACATAACAAAAAAAACAAAAAACCCATTCGAACCACTTCAAAACAAAAGATGAGAAGAAATGAGGTTCTCACTGGGCTCTTCTTTCGTCAGAAAGTCCAAACGTCGCTGGAGTGAGAGTGGCCGAGATATATCTTATTTAGATCTAGGGTTTTAGGGGTTGTTTTAGGGTAAACGAGGTTAGGTTTCGAGGTGGAGAGGAAAAGAGGAAGCTTTTGAGTGTTCTTTCCTCCCTCCGGTCATCGTGCGCCGCTGGGGCTCCGCCGTGGTTGCCACCGGCCGTGGCTATCCCTAACTCCCTGGTGAGGGAGAAGTTTAGAGAGTTTCCCAAACTCTCCCCCCTCTTTTCTGAAGCAATGAAGAAAATGAGAAAGTGAGAAGAAAATAAGCTTGAGTTTAGGCTTTTTCCCTAACGAAACGAAACTGTTTCAACATGGACTGTCTCTATGTTTTTTAGTTATGGGATATTAGCGATTAAGGTCCCTGCTATCTTGTAACATTCTATTTTAGCCATTTAATGAAGTTCTGCTTTGTTTGATTTCGAGCACTTATGTTTCATATTTTATGTTTTAGTCTTGTTATTGTATGTTAAGTTATTTATGTTAATATTTGACTTTGGTCACAATGTTTATAATTATTTCATTTAGTCATTTATTTATTGTGTTATGGATTTTTATGGATGTTTGAATTGGGACATGAAATTTGTAAATATTTTATTTTAGTCACTACTTGGTATTTGGTTTAATTATTGTTTGGTCCTTTATGTTTCTGGTTATTTTATTTTAATCCTAAATATTATTTATGGGTTATTTACATTTCTGGTGCATGTATTATTTAACATTTGCGATTTGGGCTCTGATGTATTTTGTTATTAATGTTTACCCTTTATGTTTCTGTTAATACCATTTTAGTCCCTTAAGTTTGTGTTTTGTTATTTTATTCCTTTAAATGTTTGTTTTTGTTATTTTAGTCCTTTAAATGTTTGTATTTGTTATTTAGACCCTTAAGTTTCAATTTTTACTATTTTAGACCTTTAAGTTTCTATTTTTCCATTTTATTCCTTTAAATTTTTGTTTTGTTGTGTTAATCTTTTAAGTTTCTATTTTTTCTATTTTAGTCCCTTAAATTTCTATTTTTGCTATTTTAACCCTTCAAGATTATGTTTTTACTATTTAAGTCCTTTAAATCATATATGATTATTCCTTATTTTTATATATATTTCATTTTATTTTCTAAATATGTAAGTGGAAAATTTTATTGTGAGAGAAATCTACGAAGACATCTCCCGACTATAAGGGAAGGTGTCTTTTCAAGGATTTTTCGCATAAATGTTTGTTTTGTATTCGATAATTCTCTCTTTTCTACGTTTATTTATTCTGATTATTTTTCAACTCTTTTCACTTTTATTTTGTTTTATTTTATTTTATCTTTGTGAAAAATTTGCGAAATAATGTCTTTTGTGAGTGTAAACTATGGGAAAGTCTCCTAACTGTAAAGAAAGTGTTTTCTCGAAGATTGTTCACACAAAAGGGCATTAATTATCCGAAAATTAATGCTATTTGAATAAATTCGAATAAATAGAATGATCATAATTTAAATATGTTTTCGAGTTTGTAATTCTCAATATTTAAACAACATATAATCGTTTAGGTACCAAAATTTGGACGTTGTGGGGTGCTCACCCTTCCCCATACGTAATTGACTCTTGGACTCTTAAAAATGAATTTTTTGTAAAACGCATACCCTTTTTCAATGTTTCCAACCTACCTAACTTAAAGGTTGGTGGCGACTCCAAAATCAAACCGTTTTTCAAATCATATTTCATCGCCTTTCCCGCATTAAAATTTTTAAATTCTAACGGATCCCCAGGAGAAACGCAATGACATGTAATAGAGTCGATTGCATGAAATAGATAGGTATAGCAGATAGAACCGGCTTCGCTAAGGTTATACGACCGACAAGGGAGAGAGATCTGGTAGCCCATCCATTCAGCCGATTCCACATCTTATCAATAATGAAATTAAAATCAGAGACTTTAACTCTGCTATGGTTAATAGGAACACCAAGGTAAGTACCCAGATTATCAAGCGAGCGAAATCCCAGATTGTTGCAAATGGCAAACTTCAAGTCGTCACCAGTATTCAGATAAAAATAAATCTGGGTTTTAGCTTTGTTAACATGATGACCCGAGTGATTGCCAAAAATATTTAGGATATTCTCAATGATTATTGTTTACTACATATCCGCTTTCAAATACAAAATAAGATCATCAACAACAAAAAAAGAGATGGGAGAGAGGAATACCATTTTTAATGAAGCGGAAAAGGATCCAAGTGCCTTGATGAACATCATTATGAATGAACCAAACGTTCCATGGAAAGAACGAATAAGTAGGGGTACAGGGGGTATACTTGATGGATACCACGTTGAGGAGTGAATGGTTGAGAGTATAAGTCATTCCATTGAATTTGCATAGATGAAGTGGTCACACAGTCCATAATAATACGACGAATAACATTGGGGAAACTTGCATCCATGAGAGAATCGTGAATAAAGTCCCAATGGAAGCAATCAAAAGCCTTTTCAAGATCGACTTTTATTGTCATCCAACCATTTTTGGCTTTGGAAGTGCACATAGTGTGCACAACTTCTTGATTAGTGATAATGTTATCAATAATGGATCTGCTAGAGATGATGCCCGTTTGGTTATTCTGAATCAGAATAGGAAAAATTGATTTAAGACGTCCAACAATGATCTTAGTTAGAAGCTTGTAAGTAACCGTGCAAAGACTGATAGGCCTAAAATCTTTAAAGGTCTCTGGGTGGTCGGATTTAGGGATGAGAACCAGGATAGTCTTCTTCAAATCAGGTTCGATAACCCCCTTTAAAAATATCTTGAATAAGCTTGCCAACAGAAGGTCGACGATATTCCAATGCTTTTGATAGAACTCTGCCTGAAGACCGTCCCAAGCTGGAGACTTAAGCGGTGCCATATTCCAAAGAGCGGCATGAATCTCATCAGCAGTAGGGGGTGTCCAGAGAAAGCAGCATCGAATTAGGAATTGACGGAAACCGACCCCTATATGGGAGATGATTAACTCTAGAGGTATCATTGGTAAAAAGGGATTGGAAATTGTTACCAGCTTCCTCACGAAGAACATCATTATCCGAGCACCGTTCACCATTAATCAATTTCAGATTGGTGATTTTATTCTTTTGTCTACCGCAAATGGCTCTTTGGTGGAAATAACGAGTACTGCGATCCCCGTTAGTAATCCATTCAGACCTGGATTTTTGTCGCCATAATATTTCCTCTTGATCGAGAATGCTCTCAAGCTCAAGTAATAAGTTCTCTTCCAACTCAATTAAGAAACGAGACTTACGGATGCACAAAGATTTTTGAATGCCTCTAAGACGTGACATAATAATGCGTTTTTTGGTGTCGATGTAACCAAACACAGTTTTGCTCCAATTATCGGCCGACTTAGTGAAGTTAATAATAGTAGACGACATACTTGTGGAGAGGATCCAATTAGCATGAACCATTCGAGCAAAATCATCGTGTGAATTCCAGCCCGAGAAATAACGGAGAGGACGACTAGTAGAGAAATTAACAGAATTTCCAACCTTAAGAAAGATAGGTCTGTGATCGGATCACATACGCATTAAATGGTGAACTTGAGACTCGGGAAAAGCAAACCGATCAAGACGAGCATTAGCATTGCCATGAGACCAAGTGAACCTTGGACCTTGAAACCCCATATCACAAATGGCAATATCAGAAACAAAATTTTGAAAATCAGCACTCGGTTTGGTCGAATTGGCACACCCCATTCTATCTGAATCAGTCAGAGTAGCGTTAAAGTCACCAAAGTTGAGCCAAGGTGACCCCAAAGAGCTAGCCTTGTGTCGAAGATGACCCCAAAGAGTAGACCTTTTGGTAGCATTTGGGCTTGCATAAACAGTGGTAACAAAGAAAGACTTGTCGATTTTTTTATAGTAACACGAAGGTGGATAAACTGGAAATGGTTGAGAAGAACCTTAATTCAAATAGAACCATACCAATCCAGCCAAATTCCACCAGAAAAACCAGCAGCCTCGATACCGTGGGAGTAAGGAAATCTCAAAGAGCAAATAATAGAGTCCACTTTCCTACCACTGATGCGCGGCTCAGCAAAAACAACTAAGTTTGGACGTGAGTCACAAAGATACTCTTTCGCGGTGGCGATGAATTTCGGATGGCCAGCAGCCCTGCACATTCCAGTAAAGAGCTTTAAAATTCATAAAAAATAATATAAAAGAAAAAAAAGTACCCCAAATCAAAACCAGATTAAGACGAAAGTTGCATGTCTCCTTCAAGAGAGACTTGTTCAATACAAGTGACCATATTACTGCAGGTTTGCAATTTCACGTTGGCATTGGTATTTGTTTGCTCCATACAAGAATTTCCAGTAGGGTCGGGGGGATCACTGGAATGGGGTACTGATTGTAAAATCAGACCAGAATCTTTATCAACCTCCATTTGGTTAACATTTGGGTTGGCGTTCTAATCTATAATAACGGCTGTGTGGTGGGAAGGGTCAAGAGTAGAAGCTGGGTGCTTTCGAGAGCTACTAGCTTTGTTGGAGTTTTTGAACGATAAAGGAATGTCCAATAGAGAAAAAGTGAGCGGTCTTCTTGTGTGAGTTACTTTTTGTTGTTTCTGAATCGCAAGGGATTTTCCTTTTTGCTTGGGGGCATTTTTAGGAGCCGCTCGTTCCTTATTTAGTTGAGGAGAAGCTTGATTAGGGGCGATTTCAGCAGAATCCGGATTAGGATGATCGCTAGTTGGTTCAAATATAGGGTGAAACCGTGGTTCAGAGATCGCAATGCTGGTGTTGATCTTTGGTAGAGTCTGCGATTTCTTTGGTGGTCGACGCTGCCGTTTCTCAACAATCATCCAGGAACCAAACATTGTATCATCTTTCTTGGTAGCGTTATCAGCTTTCGGGATCACGGCTTCCTCTTGCTCTTGAGAAATTGATATACGGGGACAAGAATCTTGTAAGTGTCCGTATTTCCACAATTGAAGCAAATTGATGGAAGAGCTTCATATTCCACCATCTGTATCCTTCCGTTGACAACAAGTTCTGAGGTAAAAGATTTGTTGAGATCGATATTGATCGCCATACGAGCTAATCGTCCACTGCTGGAGAAACAGGGTTATTTCCTACACGAACGTAGTTTTAAAATTGACCTAAAATATCAAGATCAAAACCACCAAAGGTTGCACAGCGGATAAATTTGTCAAACTATTGAATATTGAAACACAATGGAAAAACCGAATAAAAAAATAAAGGAGATAACACACCAAATTTACGAGGTTCGACGAGAATATCGTCTACTCCTCGGGAACCATACCGGATGATAACTTCACTATCAACAAATATTACAACAAATGGAATTCTTTAGAATTCCTAAAGTGAGAGAATGAAGAAAACAAGAGAAAGAGAACTTGTTTTTAGGATGATTTCTAATGAAATACTTGGGCCTATTTATAGTTGAGTTTTAAGGACTCAACTTATAAATAACCTAATATTTTAGGGATCAAACATGAAAAATAAGTTAACCACCTACCAAAGAATTTTCCAATGTGTACAAGTTAGCCACCAAAAAGGAAATTCTCATGTTCAAAGTTTGGCCACCAACCAAGATGAAATTTCCAATAAGTTGGCCACTAACCAAGATGAAATTTCCAACTTGCCAACTTAATTTCAAGCCAAATCTAACAAATCTCCACCTTGGCTTGAAATTACCAAGCCTACTCAACTTCTTCAACTCCCCAAATTTGTAGTGCTTCTAATTGCGCTCACAAGAGCCACACACCCGAAGGTGTTCATACTTTCAGGATGTTAATCAAGTTCAAACAATGATTGAACTTGATTACTGTTACCACCTTGGTCATCATATCTGCAGGATTTTCTGATGTCGCAATTTTCTGAAGTAGAATCTTTCCTTCTTCAAAGATCTCCCGCACAAAGTGATACCTCACGTCGATATGTTTAGTCTTTGAATGGTAGACTTGATTTTTCGCTAAGTGAATAACACTTTGCCTGTCACAATAGAGACTAATGTGACTTTGAACAACTCTCAAGTCTTCCATCAACCCATTAATCCAAATTGCTTCCTTTACAGCCTCTGAAACTGCCATATATTCTGCCTCTGTAGTAGACAAGGTCACCGTAGATTGCAATATAGACTTCCAACTTACTGGGGCTTTAGCATGAGTAAAAAAATACCCAGTAGTAGATCTAAGCTTATCCAAATCACCAGCATAATCGGAATCAGCATATCCAACCACACATTGACCAAGTTCTTCATCATGTTCAAAAAATAAACCAACATCCAAGGTTTGTTGGAGATACCGTAGAATCCATTTCACAGCTTGCCAATGTCCTTCTCCAGGATCATGCATATACCTACTCACAACTCTAACTGCTTGTGAAATGTCAGGACGCGTACACACCATTACATACATCAATCTCCCAACTGCATTAGCATATGGAACTTTTGCCATATACTCTCGTTCTTCGTTAGTTTTAGGAGATAATTGAGAACTAAGTTTTAAATGAGAAGCCAGTGGGATACTTACATGTTTGGTATTTTCATTCATGCAAAAACATTGTAATACCTTTCTCAGATATTGCTTCTGTGTCAAACAAAGCTTCCCTATCTGTCTATCTCTGCTTATCTCCATACCAAGAATCTTCTTGGCCTCACCTAGATCTTTCATCTCAAACTCTTGATTCAACTGAGCCTTTAATTTGTCTATCTCCTTTTGACTCTTCGAAGCGATCAACATATCATCAACGTACAAGAGAAGATAAATGAAAGATCCATCTTTGAGCTTTTGCAAATACACACAATGATCATATTTGCTTCTAGTGCTTTTGCCTCCTCATAAAGCTATCAAATCGCTTGTACCACTGCCTCGGAGATTGCTTCAATCCATATAGCGATTTGTTCAGCTTACAAACCCATTTCTCATAACCACAATCTTTCTATCCTTCTGGCTGAGTCATATAGACCTCCTGTTCTAAATCACTGTGTAAGAAAGCTGTCTTTACATCAAGTTGAGCTAGCTCCAAATTCAACTGTGCTACCAAGGCCAACAATATTCTAATGGAGGAATGCTTGACAACAGGGGGAAATACTTTATTATAGTCGATTCCCTCCTTTTGAGCGTAGCCTTTAGCTATCAACTGTGTCTTGTAGCGAACATATTTATTTCTTTGAGATTAATCTTTCTTTGCAAATACGCACTTGCATCCAATTGTTCTTTTACCTTTCGGTAATTGTGTCAGTTTCCAAGTGTTGTTCTTTTGGAGAGATTGCATTTCTTCATCCATGACACTTTTCCACTTATCACTTTCCAAGCTTTGTATTGCTTCTTGGTAAGTGATAGGGATATCATAATCAACAACTGGAAGAGCATAGGCCACCATATCAACAAATCGAGCATGTCTACGAATTTCTCTCATTTGCCTTGTAACTGCAAGTGGTTCTGGTGTCTCCAATGGTTATTGGGTTTGAACATCTTCATCTTCTGATTCTTCTATTGGAGTTGAAGAATCAGTTGCATCAACTTATGGGATCATCGTCTGTTGAAACTCCACCTGTTTTGGAGTATGCTCCACCTGCTGCAGAGTACTACTTGTCTGGACAGCTTCATTTGTTACCTTCTTTACTAGGGCAGATTCATCAAAGGTAACATATTTGCTACAAATTATCTTCTTAGTGTATAAACACCAAAGGAAGAATCCCTTCACTACATGGGTGATTCCCATAAAGAGAGTCTTCTTTGCTCTCGGATCAAGCTTGGATTCCTTCATATGAAAATAAGTTGTGGATCCAAATACATGTAAGGAATCATAATCAGTAGCATGTTTTCCAGACCATACCTCCAATGGTGTTTTTTCTCCTATCGCTGATGACGGCAGACGATTGATGAGATGGCCAGCATATGTCACAGCCTCAGCCCAAAATGCCTTGCCTAACCCAGCATTAGACATCATACATCGAACTTTCTCCAATAGTGTTCGAATCATACGCTCTGCCACCCCATTCTGTTGTGGTGTATTTCTAACAGTGAAGTGTTGAACAATACAATACTCATGGAAAACGTCAAAGAATTGGTCACTTTTATATTCCCCTCCATTTTCCGTCCTAAGATGTTTGATCTTTCTACCAGTCTGGTTCTCGATCATATTTTTCCATTTCAGGAAAATTCGAAGCACTTTATCTTTAGACTTCATCGGATACACCCAAACACTTCTGGAAAAGTCATCTACAAAAGTTATAAAATAATGGTTTCCTCCCAAAGACGATGTCTTTGAAGGACCCCATACATCTGAGTGAATATAATCCACAATACCTTTTGTATTATGTATAGTGGTGCCAAACTTCACTCTCTTCTTCTTTCCCAGAACACAATGATCATAAAAGTTCAATTTGCAAGCCTTTGCACCTTTCAACTATCATTTCTTTGCCAGAATTTACAAGGATTTCTCTCCAGCATGTCCCAACTGCATATGCCACAACTGGGTTGCGTCCAAATCATCACCTCCGAAGCTGCTGCAACTGCTCCAATAATTGTACTAACTTGGTAGTAATGCAAATTATTTTTCCTGATGCCCTTCATCATCACAAGTGCGCCATATGTGACTTTTAAAACTCAATCTCTCATAGTGACTACTGAGCCTTTGGATTCCAAGGCTCCCAACGAGATGATATTTTTCTTCAAACTGGGCACATATCGGACATCCGTCAGAACTCTGGTTGATCCATCTTGATTCTTCAATTGAATTGAACCTATCCCAACAGTTTTACAGGCATTGTCATTGCCCATATAAACAACTCTGCATTTAGTTCTACTAAATCGGAGAAGCACTCCCGATTAGGGGACATATGATAGGTGCAACCCAAATCTAATATCCATTCATCTGAATGGAATGTTGTTGATGAAGCAACCAATGATATGTCAGATTCATTTGCGTCATACTCTGCAACACATGTATCTGGAGTAGCTTTTCCTTTCTTCTTCAGCTTTGGACAATCTTTCTTCTAATCGCATTTCTCATGACAAAAGGCACATTCATCTTTTCCAGTCTAGACTTCGACTTTGATCTCCCTCTCCACTTTGGCTTTTGACTTTTCGAGCGACCTCTTGCTACCATGGCCTTCTCTGCTTCGTACTTGCTTTCTTTCTGAGCTCATAACTATACAAAGCAGCAGTTACATCTTTAAAGGTAACATTATCCTTACCATGAAGTAACGTTGTCTCAAGGTGCTCAAATTTATCTGGAAGAGATGACAACAACATCAAAGCAAAATCTTCATCTTTGAAGGTTTCATCCATGCCCTATAAGTCTGCCACTAGCTCATTGAACGCAGTGATGTGTTCATTCATACTGGTGATTGGTTGATAATCAAATATGAACAATATTTTCTTCATGTGGAGACGATTCTGAGAGCTTTTCTTTAGGAATTTTTCCTCAAATGCTTTACACATCTTACTTGCAAAAGTCTCGTTCTTGTAGCCATACTTCTGCTCCCTGGAAAGACAAGATCTAATTGTGCTTCACTCCAAACGATTGATTGTTCCCCATTCTTTCTCCTCCATATATTCGAGCTTTTCTTCCTCAATGGCGATGTCTAGACCTTGTTGGAATAAAACGTCTAACACCTCGCCTTGCCACATGCCAAAATGATTGGATCCATCGAACAACTCCACCGAGAAATTTGTATTTGACATCACACTCCTCACCGGTCCAGATGAAGAGCTTGATGTCTCAACTGATCCGTATTTTGGCATTTTAATTCTAACGAACAATATTCAATATCACAAAATAGATCTTTTTAGCAACGGAACCACCAGGATAACCTCAACCGAAGTTTTGATGCCAAATATTAGGGAAACATGGTTATTTTCCACACGAACATAGTTTTAAAATTGACCTAAAATGTCAAGGTCAAAACCACCAAAGGTTGCACAGCGGATAAACCTGTCAAACTATTGAATATTAAAACACAATGGAAAAACTGAATAAAAAAATAAAGGAGAGAACACACCAAATTTACGAGATTCGACGAGAATATCGTCTACTCCTCGGGCACCACACCGGATGATAACTTCACTATCAACAAATATTACAACAAATGGAATTCATTAGAATTCCCAAAATGAGAGAATGAAGAAAACAATAGAAAGAGAAAACTTATTTTTGGGATGATTTCTAATGAAATACACCTATTTATAGTTGAGTTTTAAGGACTCAACTTATAAATAACCTAATATTTTAGGGATCAAACATGAAAAATAAGTTGGCTACCTACCAAAGAATTTTCCAATGTGTACAAGTTAGCCACCAAATATGAAATTCTCATGTTCAAAGTTTGGCCACCAACCAAGATGAAATTTCCAATAAGTTGGCCACCAACTAAGATGAAATTTCCAACCAAGATGAAATTTTCATATTGTCAACTTAATTTCAAGCTAAATCTAACATACACGTCTTCCGCTTTCAGTTTGATAATCCAGAAAATAACTTTGCCAATACATTCTCCAATCTCAGTAATAATCCAAGCCATCATCTTTCGCGGAAAAGGATTTTTTTGGCGAGAATTCCTCCGTCCATGGTTCGACAGTAAGGTAGTGACCAAAAATCGTCCAAGAACCATCTGCAAGAGGAATAAGAAGTCATCACGAGAGTGAAAAGTAGCAAGGAAATAATCATTTTCAATATCCTTAAGTTTGATTGCTAATTTTGGTTTCCACAGTTCATAGATCTTGGATTTCAATGTGTTGTAGCCGATGCGGCACCCTAGGAGTTTAAGAACCACAGTCTGATCCAGAGATTTTGCTGCCAGAGATTTGATTCGATTAAAAAATCGATCGAGATCAAACCATCAATTATGCTACGAACAACTTCGCCCTCCTGAATTTCAATGTCCTCGTCATCGAGAATTTCTTCGTCGTGTCTGTGATCTTCTACGGTATTGTTCACGAGGGAATCTTTGTAAGAAAGTGGTTTGTTCTTCGCTTCTGCTTGGGGCGTCGCTTCATCTATAATTCCTTCGCCTGTGGAAGGTACATCAGCCGCAATAAGGGATGAGGGGATCTCTATCGGAATTGCTTTATCAATGCGCAAAAGTGATCCTCCTTCATCTGGCGGATCATCATCTTGGCGTTGAGGTTTTTTAGGGTTACGGGGTTCATCGCTAGGTTCAGAATGTGATAACATATATACTTAGTCTTAATTTAAAATAAATATTAACTCCGATTTCAGAATGTGATAACATATAGGCAATGAATAAGATACAGAATTTGAAAGGAAATCTCACGTACTTCAGTTTAACATAGTTTTAAAAGAAAATGAAAATCCAAGTAGTTAACCAATTGACCTGGCTTCATCCTGCTCATACTATTTGCCTGTGTTCAAGTCACTGCAGCAGCAATACAACTTCCCTGGCGGGAACTCTCAAATACATTCATTCCTGTTGGACACCGATGACGGTAGATTCAAAAATATATTTTAAGATAGGCACATATGTATTTTCGTATAGGATAAAACAAATAAAATTTTAAGGTAGGCATCATCAGTAAAATTGACAATTAATATAAAAAAAATTGAATTTCAGAATAGACACACATATGTATTAATAATAATAAAATTCGTATAGGGTAAATACAAATAAAATTTTAGTGTAGGCATCATCAATAAAATGCACAATTAATATAAAAATTTGAATTTTAGAATAAACACAAATATGTATTAATAATAAAAAAAATCATATAGGATAAATACAAATAAAATTTTAAATTAAGCTTCTTCAGTAAAATAAATAATTAATATAAAAAATTTGAATTTCAAAATAAACTCGTGACAGTCTAGAATACACATACATCCGCCACTCTTGCCACTCTTGTTCTAAAGCTTTGGTGTCAAAGATTTGAGCTTTAATAAAATACTGGAATATCTTCAAATCGGCTATTATACATGATACGTGTATATATATATTATCTGATCGAATCCAAAGCTTTGTTTGGTTTACCAAACATTTTCCCGCTTGAAAATGTCAAATCTTGTATCCTCATTCATGTTCAAACGATCCCAAGTTGAGGTAGGGAAAAAAATAGCAGGCAACCAGCCAAACCCATTTAGTAAAAAATACAAATGATTAATAAAATAAGTGGTCAAATTATACATTTTTTTCTTAAATTAATGTCCAAATTTTTTAGGTCAATCTAGATGCCTAACATCATAAATATTATCAATTTAGGTGTTCTGACCGTAACAACCGTTAAAAATCTCCGTTAGTGGTCTTCATTCTTATAGTCGATTGGTCATTATGATCGCGCGGGGTCGTGATTTGCAACGTCAGGGTTCATCAAGAGTTGTGTCAATTGACTTCTGTTCCGGTGGATTTTCATGGGTTATTGGTCGTCGAGTGGAGGTGACGTTGGGTTGAAGTTGGCAACGACAAAGGGTGGTGGCCAGCATGAGTTTAAGGTTTGAAATTAGAATTTTCTAAGTTTTTGAATTTTTTTAAGTTTTTCAAAAAAAATTAGATTTTTTATTATAATTATAATTTTTTTATTTTAAATAAAAACTTCAAAATTATCACAACATGACATGTGTCACTTAATTATCTTTTTAATAAACATTATAGATGAAGCACTTGAAGTGGTACGTTTATAATATTATGTACCAAAATTGATCAAAAAAATTTAGACACCACTTAAAAAAAATAGAATAATTTAGAAATTTATTTTTATGTTAAACCAAATACAAAATGAAGAGATAATGATTAACGAGGGATTGAAATGGAAGGAACCCAAGTTTTCACTTGCTTGCATATGAGTGTGATTCAATTCAAAGTTATAATCCAACATCAGCACTCCTACTTTCTGGGGTTGACTTTTCTCTTTGATTTTTATCTTCGCAATCTGAAAATCCCATTAACTTCTCTCTTTACTTGCCTTTCCAAGATCCATTTATTGTTCCATTATTCTTGAACCAGTCAGGTAATTTGCTAGGTTTCAATGCAAATACAACTTACATTTGGCCTTTGGATTTTCCTATATTTCTTTCAGTTTCTTTGGCTTTTCATTTATATATTGGGCTGTTTTATATCTAAAATAAATATATATAAATTTTAGGTTAATTTTGTAGTCAAGTGAACTTAATGGGACTTGGTTTCTACATCTATGTTTGGTTTGGAACTTTTTGGTCAATACTTTCAGTTTCAGTATCAGAATTCTATGCCAAATTAATCGTTTTCTTCTTTGTTTATATAATGTTAATGTGAGTCGAATTCTGGACTGATATCTAGGTGCTCATGTCTTAAATGTTTGGGTCTTCAATCTGGATTTACATGGTTTCAGTCCACTTTGAAGTCAAGCGTGTTAGCGTCACTTGGTTGATCAAACGGATCATTGACTAGTTTCAATAATATTTGATTCAAACAGATCAGTAGAAATTACTATGATCCTTAGAAGGAACTTGCAGAAGAATTCCTTGTTGCTATTGGATGAGAAAGAAAGGAACTAAAAATGGTTCCTTTCCTGTCTCTGGAAATAATTGTAACCTTGGATGTTATAGTAAACAACAATCTGATGCTAACTGTTGTTATGAATAGTTAAGGCAGAGCATTCATATAAGAAAAGTGGATAATTTGTGGGGTTGGTTTAAGTGGTTGGTATAGTTTAAGCAGGTCTCGAACTTGAGGCCTTGTTTATGCAGAAAATCCTCCTTGGCACCAAAATCAGGTATACGACATGGGTCGGCAGGGAACCGGGAGGCCAACCCAAAAAAGTAGTTTTGAATTTGCATGCCATAAAAAAAAGTGCGTAAGTTTTCAGCTTCAGTAGAAGGAAGTCATTATGATCTTATGCAATTTCTCGTTTTCTCATGAAAATAAAATATTGCTTTTGTTTGTCCCCCCCTTAAACAAGCTTGCACTTGGAACACAAAATACAGATGTAGTGACACTGATATTAATGATACTAAAATTGTGAAGGATTTTAACTGTTAACATACAGGGAGACATCTGTTAAACTATGAGTGTGGATTAAAAGAAATCCTCTTCAAATAGCTCCGATACGTCTCTAACAAATGAAGAGCTACAGGCAAAGGTATATTTTGTTTATACGATCCAATATCCCTAGTTCCTCATATGTTATCATTTTGATCTATGATTGATTTTGATGGTTGAAGCAAGCAAAAGGCTACTTGGATGTTTTGGAGTAAAGCTTTCAAACCTTTCGATATTTGCATATTACTGAAATAAGAAGGTTGATAGGACCATTGCCTGAGAAGTACATTTATTGCTCTGATGCAACCATCATTAGATATTTAAGGGAAAGGAACTGGAATGTCAAGAAGACAACTAAAATGCTGAAAGAAACCTTGAAATGGAGAGTTGAATACAAATCGGAAAAAAGAAGGTTGGGTGTCAAATTTTTTTTTTAAAATGAAGGTTGGGTGTCAAAATGCTCCAAAAAAAAGAATAAAAGTCAAAATAACTATTTTGATAAACGTTGGGGGGGCTAATTTTGACATTATGTCATCCCAAATCTAACGGTTTACGATTTTTGGTCATGGTGGTGTCCCATCTTTGTCCCAAAAGTAAGATTTTTTTACATCTTATGCCATTAGTTAGTCCAAAAACAGCTCACTGTACTAGTATCCTTTGCCAACTTTGGGCTAATGATATGTTTGATTGTGTTTTGGATTAGCAAGCCTGTATTATTGTGCAAGTAGACCATGAGAGGAAAAAAGGAACCTTTTCTTTTCCCATATTTTTGGGACCAATTATGTCTATCAGCAATGAAGATTCAAGTTTCAGAACACACTACATATCTGTGCATTGGTTGGCCTTGACATCTTAGTTGAGTTTATTTTGATTGTAGAACTCTAAGTCAACAAAGGGACAGATTAGGCATTTAGTGGTCACTAACTCCTTATTTAATAAGAGAGATGCGAACTTGATTACGTTTCATAGCGGGGGGCATTGTACCCAAATCGACTACATCCTGGCTCGAAATCGGGATCGATGGGCTTGCATTAACTGTAAGGTGTACCCTGAAGTGGCATGTGCATCACAACACAAATTGTTGGTTTTGGTGTTCCGCGTACCACACGGGCGGAGCACTCATAGGAGAGCTAAACTGGGTAAACCTAGGATCCTTTGGAAGAAGTTACATGGAGCGACAGCTGATGACTTTAAGAGTAAGGTTTTGTCTAATACAGGTTTTGGAACTACAATCTCAAATAATGCAGATTTGTTATGGAAAAATATGGCAAATTCCATCAGAGAGATGGGCAAAAACACCCTGGGGTTGTCGACGGGGAAGGCCAAGGAACATAAAGAATCGTGGTGGTGGAACGACGAAGTCCAAACTAAGGTGAAGACAAAGCAAACTTGCTTCAAGGAGTTTCTACTATGCAATGATGACGAAGAAAGGTCGAGAGCTAAACAAAGATACAAGGAGGCAAAGCGGGAAGCCAAGAAAACGGTGGCTAAAGCAAAGGATAAGGCATACGAGGAAATGTACAAGAGATTAGACACCAAGGAAGGACAAAACGGCATCTTCAGGCTTGCAAAATCTAGGGAGAATAGGAAAAAGGATCTAGGTAGCATTAGGTTTATTAAGGACAACAATGGTGTTCTTCTAGCGAAAGATCATGATATTAAGAGGGTTTAGGGTAGTTACTTCTTTGGCTTATTTAATGAGGGTGCCTCTCCCTGTAGAGAGTACTATTGATGGGTCAGCCGACCATCATACTACGACCAATGACTGCCCTACAAGTAAGATTGGGTTTGAGGAAGTCAAAATGGCTCTTAGAAAGATGGGAAGGGACAAAGCTGTCGGTCCTGATCAAATTCCTATCACTGTGTGGTTGGCCCTAGGAGAAGAGGGAGTTAAGTGGTTGACCAACATCTTTAATATTATTTTAGAGACTGCCAAGATGCCAGAGGAGTGGAGAGAGTCCACGGTGATACCAATCTATAAGAATAAAGGAGATCCCCAACGTTGTGGTAACTACAGAGGTATTAAACTACTCAGTCATACCATGAAGCTATGGGAAAGGGTGATAGAGGCTAGGTTGAGACAAGTTACTAAGGTTTCAGAAAACCAATTTGGATTTATGCCAGGCAGGTCTACCATGGAGGCGATTCATCTACTTCGACGACTTATAGAAAAATATAGGGAAAAGTGTAGAGATCTTCACATGGCGTTCATTGACCTTGAGAAGGCTTATGATAGCGTTCCCCAAGATACGATTTGGAAGACTTTGGAAATGAGACTGATCCCAACTGCTTATATCCGGGCGATTCGTGATATGTATTGTAGATCTACTACACACGTCATGACTACAGTTGGCGACACCGAGGCATTCCCGGTGGAAATCGAACTCCACTAGGGGTCGGCTCTTAGTCCTTACATCTTCTCCTTGATTATGGACGACATCTATTGTGCGACACCAGACGGTGTACCATGGTGTATGCTTTTTGCTGACGACATTGTCCTAGTTGCTGAAACAAAATCTGAGTTGAATAATATACTGACTACCTGGAAGACTGCTTTGGAAGAAAAAGGTCTAAGGATCAATATTGAAAAGACAGAGTATTTATGTTCAAACTTCAGTGGGGACCAAAACGATGAAGATGTAGAAGTATGCATAGAAGGACACATTCTCCCCTCAAAGGATTGTTTCAAGTACCTAGGGTCTATGATACATAAAGATGGGGGTGTAGATGATGATGTAACACACCCTATCAAGGCGGGATGGCTAAAGTGGAGGGCTGCTACTGGAGTTTTGTGTGACAAGAAGGTGCCTCTAAAACTTAAGGGAAAATTTTATAGAATGGCAATAAGACCAGCGTTGTTGTATGGATCAGAATGTTGGGCAACAAAGAAGGATCATGTAAGGAGGATAGAGGCTGCAGAAATGAGAATGCTTCGATGGACATGCGGTAGGACTCTGTGGGATATGACAACAAACTCTACTATTAGGATGTCCTTGGGGGTGGTGCCTGTTTCTAAAAAATTGAGGGAGGGAAGACTACGGTGGTTTGGGCATGTCCTTAGGCGACTACCGTCGGATGCGGTCAGGAGGGTAGAGTCGATTACAGTCGACGATGCCAGAAGGAGAGGACGACCAAGGCGGAAGTGGGAAGACTGCTTGAGATCTGATTTGATGGATTTAGCCCTTACCAAGGACATGACCTCTGATAAGAAAGTATGGAGACTAAAGACTAGGGTAGTCGAGTAGTGTGGGTCATATCTCTAGGGTGTATCATCTCTGTCTTCTTTTAATGCCTTTGTAGTAATTTCCATGAATTCTACTTTTTATAAGTTTCTGTTATTGGTATTTATGAAGGCTTAGAACTGGGCTTGCTATCGTGGACTTCTGTGTAATATTCTCTTCACTTTTAAATTTAGTCGGGTCTTACGTTTCTGTCTATATGCAGAGATTTTTTCGCAGGGATTTATTTGCAGGGATTACTTCCCATTTCAAACGCGCATATAATATTAATGATATTTATGACTGCATATGAATACTATTCAACTATGTATTTATGTATTTATTTATACATGCTTTGCATTTTATCTATATTTTTAATTTTCTGACTGTCGGAGGTCTTCCACGGAAGCTACTCTCAACCTGGCGTTGGGGGCAGCCTACTACCCTACCTCCCCCTTACCCCATTGCATATGGGAATTGGGTTTTGTTGTTGTTGTTTATTGGATGGAGAATGCAATCTTAAATCTTCCAACAAACCAGGAACAGATGGTCTGGTTGATCGACTTCAATGGCTTTAACTTATCACATATATCAGTGAGGATGACACGGGAAACAGCTCACGTTTTACAAGAACATTATCCTGAGCGTCTAGGTGTGGCGATACTATACGACCCACCCAAGTTCTTTGAACCTTTCTGGAAGGTAACCCATTTTTGGTCTTTGAATCTTTTGTCAAGCAATGGCCTTCCCCTTCCACTTTACAAGATCAGATGTAGCTGTCAATGCCATTTTTTTAGTTTTGTTTTGTCGTTTTGTTATTTTTCTGCTTATGCTGTAATGGTATTAGTGTATGCTTTAGGTGGTCAAACCTTTTCTGGAGGCCAAGACTCAAAACAAAGTGAAATTTGTGTACTCTGATGATGTAAATAGCAAGAAAGCAATGGAGGATCTTTTCGATATGGAGAAACTGGAGTCTGCATTTGGTGGAAATGGTGACTCTGGTTTCAACATCAGTAAGTTTGCGGAGAGGATGAAGGAAGATGACAAGAGGATGCCCGCCTTTTGGAGTAGGGAAAATACTCAATCTGCAGCTCCACCAGAACCCATGTCAACACTCGATCATGTTTAAGATCAGAAGGCCTCATTTCCAATAAAGTGCATTTCAGAGGGCTTGAGCCATGTCTTGGCTGAGGCAATAAGGTATGATAATCCGACTGTAACCGCCTTGCCGACTGTTTTAGTTAGTAATACAAAGTCAAGTCGAGCTGCCCTCAATTGTATCATTGGCCTTTACAAACTTCAGTTGAATGGATTTAACTTCAGTTGAATGGATTTGACTTTCAGTTGATTTAATGTATCCTTTTGATAAGAACTCTTATTGTTTTCATCCTTTGCAAGTTCACTCTTTGATCTTAACAAGAGCTGAAAGTTTTTGCAACACAGGCTAAGCATTCAATTCTCTTCTTGTTATGATTTCCTTGGCATTTGATGTAATGTTATCTTAGTATACATTCAACAGAGACAGAAAATGCAACTGATAAACTTGTTCTAATTTCACTCAAATCCGGAAAAAAAAATCTGTCCATATTGTCTCAACATAGTGAAGTCAAAGTACAAAACCGTTAATAAAGCTCTTTATTTGTGTATATATTACAGGGTTTGAATGTTCACTATCTGTAACACACTTAACCTAATAAGCAGGGACTTGCATCTAGGTTGCTGCACCCATAAGAAAAATCAACTGATATGGCAGCTAACCTTTGGAGCTATTGATCCATCATTATGACCAAAAAACTTGTAGAGACAGCCCTGGAAAACATACAGGAAAAAATAAATAAATTGGCATCGATCAAGAGTCGGAAAGGCGGCCAGTACAAAGAAATCCACAATGAAGCCCATAATTTGATGTTACCTCTATGCTTTAAGGACATGTCAATGCAACATCTCGTCTAATTTCTGTCTGTATTGAGCCAACCTCTGCAACAGTTCAATTAGTAGAATTATTAGTATTCTCTCAATTAAGCTTAATAACTCCCGGTAAAAGGGTCGGATGAGTCCTCAAAAATGAGAGGATAAACAAAGTAATAATGGTGAGAAGAAGTTGTGTACCCTAGTATAAGCATAGACTCCAGCCTCTGTTGGTGCTACTGGACTTCCTCTCCTAATGAACTTTCCCTCTTTAAATATGTAAAGCATAGGTATTCCAGTTGATAGTTCTAAACTAATAACCTGTCTCATGATGAATACGAAACGAATATACAATTTAAAAAAAAAAAAGATACTGGGAAGATAGAAAACATCCTGAATGGAACCAAAAAAGGGGTCCATACCTCCTGGGAGGTTAATTTGTCAAGATACATAATGATGGACCTTAATGAATTCCCATGGGCAGAAATCATGACATTCTTTCCGGATAGAAGTTGGGGTTCAATCTGCAAATCATAGATTTGTTATGAGGTGCTCCTATATCGTATGAGAAGACTTCAACCGTTAGATGATAGATAAAACAGATATGGAAGTTACATTATCTTTGAAATATGCAACAGCTCTTTGAGCACACATTTCCAAACTCTCGCCATTTGGTGGAGGTATATCATAACTTCTACGCCACTCATGAACTTTTTCCTTCCCAAATCTATCTGCGGTTTCCTGTTTATTCAGACCTTGTAGTTCTCCATACCTGCACAGAGAAGATGGGGCATGAGTCATTCATGAAAGAGAAACTAGAAAATTAGTGGCAGACGACAATAGAACAATCAGAAGAGCATGAGAAATATGACTTCATTTGTCTGGATATGGAGAAAAATAAAAAGTGGTTACATTCTTTCATTCATTTGCCAAGCCGCTACAACAGGAATCGATTGGTTTATAGTGTCTTCACTGTATATTTCACTCCATGCCTTTGCTTGCTCACTCTCACTATGAATGATAATTGGCACCTAGCAAGAGGCAATCGTTAATAAGTTGTCAGCCTAAACAATCAAAGAATGATAAAATCACTGCTCACGTACTTTTAGTAAGTAGATATAAGGTTCAATATAACTTCAAAATCATTTAACTAGGTGAATGGCTTTATCAATAGCAGCATCAGCTGCCAAGTATCATCAAGCAGATACTAGAACAAATTTTAATGCCATAAAAATTAGTTTTTCCCCAAACTACCTTCTTGCAACGGTGCTGAGTCATGGCTAGCATAGCAGTCATTTGTGCACGAATTAGTGAAGATGTGTATATCATGTCGACAGGTATGTTGCTAATTCTCTTTCCAGCTTCAATTGCTTCTTCCACTCCCTTCTTAGTTAAGGGCACATCAACACAACCTGTAAAAAGGTTTTTCTCGTTCCATAAAGACTCACCATGGCGAATGAGTATCAAAGCAGCCTCATCTGCAATGAATATCCCGGGAGTAAAGAATCACAATATTTCCAAAAGAAAAAAAACGAAGAAAAATGAACCTAAAGTTGTTCCCCAAGTTCTGAGGAAATACCAAATCACTTCCATCAGTTGGAATCAATTCACTTTTGCAGTCTGCCATTGCAATTTGGGAAATTAGGAGCTGTACTACCTAAAATAACTAGTGAAGAAAGGCTACATAGAGTGCAGTTCTAAGGCCTATAGTCATGAAGGAATGGAGAATTGTGGTATATTATTCGTTAATTAAAAAAGAAACTAAGTCTAGGATGGTCTTGCTTACTCGATTTCTTGTGAGATTCATGGGGGCCATTATTGGAGGGAGCTAAAATAGGATCAACAACAGAGGTCTGAGATGCCGACGCTCGAATAACACCGAATTTCCTCTCTCCTGAACTATAAGTCCCTCTCTTTGAGAACTCAACTTCCAACTTAAAACCTTTAGGAAGCAACCTTACTGAATTGTTCCCAATTCTGCAGTGAGTTCCAGAATTGCTAAGAAGCTGAAGATTCCCAATCGTTTGGTGCAACATAGCATTGGTAATTTCGAAAAACCAATACGAGCAACTGCAAATATAGAACACCTTCAATAATTAGACAAAATGAAGCACAAACACACAAGAGAAAATCATCATAATAGACAATCAAAAATCAATTATTTTCTAAAGAAATAATTCATTTGACCTTCCATTCCACTAGGAAAAAAACATAAAGCTAGAACAAATAGTGGTCAGATATAAATGATTATGCCAATGCCATTAAGAGTTTTTATTCATTCTAATCCTGAGTTAAATTAGGCTTAAGGCAGATTAAGAACCCGAATCATTTAACAAGCTTCAACGTCATTCAAAGAGAGGCAACAATTGAAAGTTCAAATTTTACATGAGCAAACTCCCTATATTTTGCATGATCTGACAGATCCAAGGACTTGAAAGGGAGCTCCAGTCAAAGATTCAAATTTTACATAACCCACATGGACTTTTGTTCCATAAATCAAATGAACAATGAAATTTCAGGACGATATGAATCCAAAAGAGAGAGACGAAGGACAAACCTTAAAGAGCACAACCCCAGAAACCAAAAGCAAATGCTGAAAGCGAAAAGAGGTTATTTGCCTTGATGGGTACCTGAAAAAACCTGACTTTGGTGGGGTTTATATAGAAAAAATAGTTGATGTTGTCGTTTTTTCTCTTCAGGTGTCAAGTTCGAACAGCTTAATCTCAAGAACCCTTTTATATATATATATATAACAAGACAGAAATTTCTTGGGTACTTTCTGATTTTGTTTTGCCAATTTCTTTTTGGTTCTTCTTGGCATGAAAATTATGTATATTTTATAGTTTTTTTATTAGAGTTAATTGCACCCTATGTCCCAAAACTTTAATCTTCATTGATCCTTAAACTTTTGAATATTTCAATTTTATCCAACTATGACTCATTCTAAATTAATTCTTAAACTTTTGAACATTATAATTTTATCCATAAACTATGACCCTCATTCTAGGCTGGTCCACAAACTTTTTAGTATTTCAAATTCATCCCAAATTCATCTAAATATGTAATTAGTTTTAACCATAATTTAACCTAAATTTTGTTTTTTCGAACATATAATAATATAATTTGGCCTAGCGATTTTATCAGCAAAGGATGTGATTAGTGCATAGGTATAGCTTGGGATAAAATTGGAATATTCAAAAAGTTTGGGGACCAATTTAGAATGAAAGTCATAGTTTGGGGATGAAATTGAAATATTAAAAAGTTTAAGGACTAATTTAGAATGAAAATCATAGTTTAGGGATGAAATTGAAATATTTAAAAGTTTGGGGATCAATATAAAATGAATATCATACTTTGAAGATATGTAATGCAATTAACTCTTTTTTATTAATATGAGGTAATTATAACGTAGTAACTATTCGAAAGATTCTTAACTATTTGATAATGAACATTTAAATATCACTATATAGAAGTTGTGCTCAAACCTAAAACATTTATAGATAACATATATTTCTTTAATCATTAAGTTAAGTTATATTTTATACTTGAATTCATTTTAAATAGGTATTTTCTATTTCATATACTACCCGAATGATTTCAAAGTGTTTATTATATATTTTAAAAACTATAATTAATAAGTAGACCATGTGTTAATTACTGATCCTTCAAGAAATCTTTGAACTAACTTATTCATTTCCTAACTGCTTTAATTATTTATATTATGAACAAAATTTGAATCAAAATATATTGGTTCTCATAAATTTCTATCTTAAATCACTTTATCAATATAGTTCTCGAGTAGTTGTTGATGTTTTTTTAATGATTTAAACATATAGTTTGTAGTATTTATTTTGTTCGTATCAGTACTTAAAAATTTTAAATTAATATTTAAATTAATATTTTATCTATTATTTTAATATTTGTATTAATAATATTATCTTTTAAATGATATCATAGTATAAGATTATATCACATATCAATGATTTTATTATCTTGTATTTTTTATATAAAAATATCTTTACGGTTTGTAAAAAAATGGGCATGTATATCCATATGATCCTTATGTGTATTTGGTCTATAATTTTATTTATATTTTTGATTTATTTTTTTAATTGAAATGGGTTTCATTAAAAACCTCTGTAATTCTAATATGGAAAAAGTACCCAAACATATATTAACGTTTCTCTGGTATACCAGCAATCTCGTAAAGCATGGACAATTGTTTCCTCAGCTGTATGGCACATAGGACAATTCCTATCACCAAGGCCACTTGCTCGGATCCGAGAGCCAACAGGGAGGCCACCATGAGCAATACGCCAAGCAAAGATTCTACTTTTGGGTAAGACTGGTAACTTAGAAATCATCTGCCATATACGGGACGAGTCAACAACCCTTTGGGATTGATGTTGAAGCCGCTAGTATCTAGATCGAACCGAATAATTACTGAATCATGAAAACCCCATATCAATGGTTACTCACGAACCGACGCTATCGTAGTCGAATGAATCAAATTCGCATCAGTAGGATGAAACCAAGTTTGCACTTTAACCTCATCCCAGCAGGGAGATGCCGAAAGCATAAATGCACGTCCACACTTCTGATGGGGTAACCAATCAGAATAATCACCAGTTAAAGTAATTAACTTTGAGCCACCCCACTTATCTTTGACTAAATTCAAACAACTATCCATGCCAATCCGCCAGTAAAGCTACCAGAAAGGTAGGGACTGCAGAGTCTTATGAATCCCTTTCCAAGCATTAGAGCTATTATTTTCCAATTTAGCACCCAAAAGCTTCCCATTAGGAAAATAATTCGCTCGCAAAACTCGAGGAAGCAAACAATTCGAATGCGTCGCCACTCACCAAAATTCTTGTTTACCTATCAATGCCATATTAAAGGAAGCAAAATCCCGAAGGCCAAGTCCCCCATGACGTTCGGACAAACAAATAGTAGACCAGGAAATCAGAGGCCACCCACGACTGGCGGTCGTTCCCGCCCACCAGTACCGACGCATGAAAGCCGTCATCTCATCAAGAAGGTGTTGAGGCAGTAAATAATATGACATAGCATACTGAGGCAACGCATGAGCAACCGATTTTAGGAAGATTTCTCTCCCTCCATAAGACAGTAATCGTTTCGTCCATCATGTAATTCGAGCTAGCAACTTGTCCCATAAGTAACCAAAAGTCTGAGTTTCATTATTCCCTATATATAAAGGAAGACCCAAAGTATCCACCGCTCGAATGCCAAAAAAAGCCTTCATCCATTGTTGATGAGCAACAATCGTGGAGGGCTAAAGTAGATTACAGACTTATCCAAATTCACACTTTGTCCCGATGCATTAGCATAAACAACTAGTATGTCCTTAATTTGTCCCGCCTCCAATATGGAATTTTTAAGAAAAATAAGACTATCATCAGGAAAAAGCAAGTGTGAAACTCGAGGTCCTTTTTGACTAGCTCGTATGCTTTTAATTAAACCATCAACTTGTGCTTTATGAAATAATGCAGATAACCCCCGAGTAATAAACATAAATAGGGAGAGAGACAACAGGTATGTAACATCCTAAAATCAGGACTAGTAACTAAAATTTAAGATTTGAAACTTTGAGGTCTACTTTTGAAAAAATTAAAAGTTCAGGGACTTATTTGGGAATAATTTGCTAAAGGATTGTTAGTAAATATTAAAGGAAGTAAAGGGTAAATTGATCTTTTTCACAAGAAAGATTTTTATCTTTCTTTTATGGGATATAAAACACGTGGAAATGGGCAGGATAAGGGAGAGATTTCTCTAGACACGTGGAAATGGGTAGGATAAGGGAGAGATTTCTCCAGAGAGTCCTTCTTCTTCTTCTCCAGCCGTGAGTGGCCATAGCTAAGGTAAGTTGGTCTCAGGCTGGTTAATTCTTTCGTTTTAAAGTTGGTGTTGATTCTTGGAGTGTAATACCCCAAATTTTGGTTAGTGACCAAAATGTAACTTTGGAAAGTTTGATGGTCAAAGTATAAAACTTGGAAGAAATTTTAGGAAATTAAGTGGTCAAGTTCTTGAAAAGAATTTTATTTCATAAATAGATAGTTTACTCTTGAGAGTGGGGTTTTATGGAATTATATTTGGAATTTGGAATTTGGTAAAGAAAAATTAGAAATGGTTAAAACCAGTAAGGAATCGGTAATTTCAGATTTAATTGGAATCTTACAAAAATTTGAAGGATGTTATAAATAGATGGAAATATTATTTTAATATTTTGGGATCATATAAATTTGGTCTGAAAATATGGAAATTTTCAGATTTAATCGAAACAGTGGAATTTAGTGACTAAAATGCAAGTTTTGAAATTTCATGGGAAAATTCGGAAATTTAAAGTCAAAATATTTCATCTTTGACTTTGAATTATGATAAGGATGAGTTGTTATGATTTTATGGTAAATAAGAAGATTCATTAAGGGTAAATTGGTCTTATCCCAATTAAGTGAATATTATATTCATTTAGTGGATTATAATGTAAAATATTATGATATGCCCAACATATCATTGAATTTGTTCATCTTCTTCTCCAAATCAGCCGTGGGTTTCTCCAAAGGTAAGAGAAAATTCCAAATCCATTTTCAAGCAATTTGTTTGGGATTTTGTGTAAGCTGTAAATAGAAAATTGTTGTATGTGAAAAACTCTATCTTTAGGTACCAATATGGTATGGTAATCTTGTTGGTGTTCAAAGATCCTAAATTTAAGGGTTTGTGTTCATAAAAAAGGGATCATGAAATTGATGATGGATTTTGATGTTTGTGAGGTAGTAGATTCATATGCAAGCATGTGTGATGATTAGAACATGTTTGATCTTTTGAGAATTTGTTCTATGAGTTTTGATCATGGATTGTTTGAGTGAGAAAAAATTATGGAAAAATTATATAGAGTTGGAAATGATGAAGAAGTATTATACAAGTCTTAGAAAAATTGGGGATCATTTCGTAAGTTTTGAAAAGTTGGAGATCAATTCGTAAATTTTGGAAAATGGAGGGATTGTTGTGTAAGTGTTATATAATTGATGTGCTATATTGGAATTTTTGGTACTAAAGATTTAGGTGATAAAATGGTGAAGGACCATTTTGAGTAAATTGGAAAAGTTGGTTCCAATACTAAAAAGAATTAATAATGTTAAAGTATTTGGTGGTGAATAGTTTGAAGCATGATTATGGAATATTTTGGTTATAATATTTATGTTAGTACAATAGTAACATATATAAGTATAATCTATATTTTGTACAGATTGTGATTTACTCGGGTGTTCAAAACGATTCGAGTATAAAAGAAAAGGGTTATTGTGGACAATAGTGAGGATTATTTTGGAAAATTATAAAGTGTCAAGGTGAGTGCAATACATGCATGAAATTATATATGGATGTTTTATACATCCGGGAAGACTTGCGATAAGTCGACCTTGTTTTATCAGCGTGATATTATATCATATTTTGTAAATTGACATGACATTGATATGTCAGAGATTGAAATTATAATGCATTGAGTTTGGAAATGTGATATTTTACCATGAATATTATTTCGGGTATGAACTGCCCAATGTTAAATTTTGATAATATTTGCCATGGATTGGATCAAATAAATAGACTGTATGCCCAAGCAGTTATTGAGATAGGTA